GCAAGTCAAGAGAAAGAATGCCTTTCAAAATGAGCAGAAAAAGGAAGACGACATTTATAAACACTGCCATAGGAAGAAGACAAAATGAGAGTCAATTCCAGCTGATGAAAAGCCTCTCCTCAACCAGAAGGCAGAGAAAACCACAAGAGCCAGGCTGAGTCAAATATCCTTACCCAGGACTTTGCAGAAATTAAACTTCACGCCGGAACTTGAACATTCAAAATGTCAGCACAGAAATGAAACAAAAAAAGAAAACCTTCAACGACCTGTAAAAAAATGAAAAAGACAAAATCATCTCATGATTAAAAGGTGAACAAGGAAGAACAGATTCAGGGAAGGGCAGTGAAGAAAAGTAGGCGAGCAGGCAAGGGTACACAGCAGAAGTTACACAGAGGAAGCAGAACGGGTGCACACAAGTGTGTGCATCGTGGTGCGCTCACACAGTGACGAGAACGGACGGGCTACTGATACACAGCCTCCCCTTGTAGATCGAATGGAGGTAATTGGATATCTGGCATTAGGATGCAACTGAACAAGTGTGGGTGGGTCTATCTTCATAAATGAGTTCCCGGAAACCATTTATACCTGTGTAGGTACACACATTTATATACTGATTTTTTTTTTTTTTTTTGAAGATTTTAAGTAATGTCTCCACCCAACATGGGACTCATCCCTCAGATCAAGAGCTCTACAGACTGAGCCAGCCAGGCACTCCTCTATTGTTATTTTAAATGTATACCAATACATAAAAAGAATCCTGTGAGGAATCTTGTAAGAACAACAATAAAACAAATACCCTCCCCATTTCTTTCGTATAAATGCAGATTTTCATACGTTTCGTTTGTAAGGAATATTTAGTTTGTAAACAGTGCTGCTAACCTGGAATGATTTGCATCTCTTAAGAGTATTCTAGCTTGAAAATGCACAAACTTTGGTTCTTCGGAAAGAGTCCGTGTTCATGAAGGGATTATTGAAAAAGCACATAAAAACGAACTTGAGAAATGTCTAACTTAACACCAAGAATCTGAGAGGCTCCTCTTTGTTCTTTTGGACCGCTGATGTAGGATCAAGCGACATTATTTGTGTCCCAGGAAGCTTCCAGACTAATCTATGATACGGAGCAAAATGCTAGATGTCAGACAGACTCAAAGGAACAGCACTGTAATTTCAGAAATAGTAGGAAAATATAGGTCTTGCCTTGTCTGGAAGGCTTCCTGTTCTGAATTATTACCATTAGGCCCTATATGTGGGTTCCGGGTGTCTTTCTGGCAGAAGACTGTTCTGTTAGTGTATTCAGTGAAAGGCGAACTGAAAACAAGGTTGGGGAGGTGAGGGTGCCTTGTGCATCAGCCCTTGTTTGTTTGAACAAGCACACATTCTTGGCCTGCCGTTCCCTTCTCACAGGACTTGAGATCATAACCTGTCCTTTCCTTTCTATGAATCAGAACTGGCAGCTATCATGCCAGTTGCTGGCAAGTTTCCTCCATTTCCTTTGGCTTCACCTTCAGTTTTTCAGATACTGAACTTCCCAGGAGCGCCCCCTGGTGTTCAATAAACGAGAGGGTAAATTTGGCCAAGGGTAATTCCAGCACAGAAACAAGCCAACGGCAGCTGGTTTCTGTACTACAGTATACAACACTGTGAGCCTTAATGATGATGTGGTTCCAGAGTCATTTAAAAAGAGCAAGTCTTTTGCTCTTCATTTCAAAAGACAGGTGATGATGAAGTATGATACGTAACAACATTCTGGGGGAATGTCAGAAAAGTGCTAATTACGTGACGTCCTTTTCTGTTAATTTTAACTCCCTGGGCAATTTAACCCGTAATGATAATTGTCACATTAGAGTTTCACTTCACTAGTCAACAACAACTACAACAAATTGCTAAAAAACCAAGACAAAGAATAACAGGAAACCCTTGCTCTTCAGTAGGAATTAAACTACAGAGAGCTCAGCTTTTTTCTCCAAACAATCCAATGAGAGGAGGTCCTGCACGTGCCCCGGGTGCAGGATCCCAGGGAGGTAGCAAGTCTGTAAGAAGATACAGCAGCTATTCCACTTTGACACTGAAATTGACTTAAAAATCCTACGAAGTCCGAAAACATACAAGCTCAGTGCTTTAGGACAATGGGACAGCATGAGACGCTCGCTCTTGTGTCTTCCACTTAGATACACATTTATAGTCTAAAAAGCAAGACAGGACTTTCCAGATTTGAAGTCAGGTTTGCTAGATAATGAATAGCCCTGGCCCTAAGAAAACAGAGTTTTTATAAAGTCTACTCCCCTACCCCCCAACCCCCCGCAACCCATGTCCCCAGAATGAAGGGTGATAGTATTTAAAGGTGGACCCAGAATTTCCAGCTGGTATTAGGGTAGGAAGTTTGCTTTTTTTAAGGAATAAAAAAACGAAACCAACAGAACAGAAAATTGTTATAAATGACTGAGTTGGGGGTAACAGAATTCTTAAGGTAACATTTTTTCTCAAAAGTTTTAATGCGAATTGAAGGCTCAGTTCCACATTTAAGATTAACTTCCCTTTTCTTGCCAGCCAACAGTCTTCCATCATCCCTTAAACCTGACCACCTCTTGATTTTACCAGCTGGCTTTCTCGGCCCACCCCTCTCTCATCCCGGCCAGTGCCCTTCCTCTGCCCATTGATGTTGCCCCCGGAGAATCCATCTGAACGCTTCTCAAACGTCCTTGACTCTCTGGCTTACAAATCTTTCCAACCCCCCCCTCCCCACCCCCACCTGAATCAAAAGATGTGCACTCTCAGGGGCCACACGAAGTGGAGAAAGTGACAGACAGGGTCTCCCCCCCCGAAACTCTATTCAGCTAGGTCTGTCTGCCGTCCTTCTGCCGTTTTACCCCTCACATCTTACTCTGTTCATTCGGAACAGCTTACTTCTGCCAGAACAGTGTGGTGGTCTGTCTCCACCGCCTTTCTGGTGCCCCTTCGCTCTGCTCGGCCCTTTCCACCCTTCCTTACCCGGCTAGCTTGACTCACCCTAGAAGACCCAGCGTGGATGTGGTCTCATCCAGGAAACATCCCCCCAAGTCCTGACGTCCCCACAGCACCCAGCAGAGCACTTTCTGTGTTCAAATTAATCCGCTCTCGTCTCACTCCCCAACCAAGCTGTAAAACTTACGGACATGGGGCATTTTACTTCGTTGCCCCAGAACCTTGTACAGTTTTGAGTCAAAAAAAAATGCTTACCTGCACATAATTTGCCAAATGAAGAGAAAATGATCCTCTACGCAAGCATATAACGGCATATACGCAACATAATACACATATTTGAAGTCCTTTATCTGTAAATATTAAGTACTATTTTTTAACTTCATACTTAAGAAATATCAAAACTTGTCAACACTTCACCAGACAAGCTAAAATGAAAAGGAATAATAGATAATAGTTAAGGTATTAGCTATTAATAGATAATAGATGGTAACAGACAATAGTTAAGACAGATGGATACCTGAAACGCTTCCATACTGCTGGCCCGAGGGTCCCCTGGCAGCATTTTGTAAAGCGAGACGTACATCTACCCTGCAGTTCCAATCCTGGGTATACGCCCAACAGAAATGAGGAAGCACGTTCTCAGCAGCATTATTCCTGATAGGCAGCCCCAGATCGGAAAGAACTCCCACGCCCAGCAGCAGCGGAATGGATGAATGAACGCTGGCATATTCATACAAACGCCGCAGAGCAATGAAACAATGAACTTAGACATCTACACCGGCAGCAGCAGCGAGGAGAGTACCTTTATGAAGTTCAAAAACAAGCTCACCCACCCATCTTGCGGTGACAGAGATGAAAACCGTGTTACCTTTGGAGGTTGTGGGTTCGGACTTCAGGAGTGGGCACCCTTGAGGACACCTCCTGCGGGAACCGCAGCGTTCTCTAACTTGATCTGGGCAGCAGGCGCCCAGGGGCCCCCCCCGGGGAAGCTCACCCCGCTGTACACTGGGGATCTGGCCCCTTAGGAACACACAGGTCGTGATGCAACAAAGTCGAGAAAAGGGCGAACCCGTGAACTACACTCTCGGGAATATGCCAACCGACGTGCTAGAGGCGTCGCCAGAGACAGAAAGTCGGCAGACGAAAGTATCTTCGTCTCTTTGCCAGAGGTGGAAAGGAGTATTTCCGAAAAGAATTCTACTTTTCAAAATGCACAAATGGGATTCCTTTTTATTAGAACGATTACAACTTTGGCTTACGGCTCATAATACTGTTTCCAGAGAACGCGCTACCGTGAACACCACCGAGGCAGCTCTGTGACGTTGTACGTTCCAGGTGGGTAGCACGGGATCCACTCACTCGGCGACGCGTTGAGAAAACCGCTCAACCCTGGCCTACGAAACTGCAGTAGCTATTTGTTACTGGCAACATTCTAAAAGAGGTTTATTTTACTGTACTCCTTATGTACTTGAACCTAAAATCTGCTGCCACCTTTCAGTGATGACAGAAGTAAAATTCTTTAAAACAGAGAAAATTTACTTCCTGTGAAGATTGAAAAAAAACAAAAACAAACAAAACAAGCCTCTGAGTACCCTGAAACAACTAATATGCTGTGTACCCCAGACTGTGTTTTGTGGTCAGTATGTCTGACATCATGAAATTAACATCAGTTCTAGGACTGAGTTTTAATGTAACTGAAGAAATGCTCAGTGAACCAAACACCGGACAGGATTCCTCACGGAGTATTCTGAGGAAGGTGTATAAATAAAAAGATTAACTGCAAGAACACGAATATCTAAAAATTCTACGTGTATACATGCAGAGTAAACTCTGGGCTACAGTATACACAAGGCAGGAGTGAACGGTAGTGCCTTAAAACATAAAATATTTTACATTATAATCTCATGTGTATATATAAAATAGAACTAGATTCTAACCGACAAATCGGAGTATGTGCCAGAACTTCCTGAGGGCCTGACACTAGACTAGTGAGGTAATACAGGTGGCGTGTGACACCCGTCTGTTTTCCGAAGACCTTTTCAACTTTTGCCATCGGTGCTAGCGCCTTCAAGGCACCGGTCCAAGTGCTCGTTAATTTGCGACTCTAGGACTTCGTTCCAACAAACAGGACAACTGACCGCTCTGCTCTGACTGGCTGAAGGGCTGGAGCTCTGAGCCGCAGCTGGAGGACGTGAACTCCACTTAGAATCACTTCCACCACGTTGCACTTGCTCTTTCTTGATAAAAAGCTCGTCAGAAACAGACTGGTCTTCTAGCCTGGCTCGTTTACTTGGCAATCTCTCTTCGGGCCCGCTCCCGTCCAGGGCTGCGGTCACAGGTGTCGATTCCGGGGCTTTTAAAGAATTTCTCGGGGCTATCTTAGAGGAGGGGACCCTTCTGTGAGACATGGAAGAGACGGAGTTTTTAGGGAGGTTGCCGACTGCCCCGCTTTTTGGTGGAGATCCACTCACACTTCTGCAGGCCTTCTGGTTGGCAGCTGACACTCTAGGAAAGTAGTTGCTTACGACATTTTGGCGACTGGCAGCAAGAACAGGGGCGACGAGAGAGGTTTTTTTGCTTGGACCAGTCTGTTCAGAGTTCACCTCCATTTTAGAATTAGGTCTCAGAGCTGTTGCTGAGCGGTCTTGACTTAAAAGATCTTGGGTTTTATTGACGGCGTGTGAAGCGACAAATCTCCCGGACGAAGGCGAATTGCTCGCGTCTCCCAGGACGTATCCTTTCCCACTGAAAGGGATCAACAGCTGGGTCTCACCTCTGTTGGGCTGATCTGCAAAAGAAAGCAGAGGTTTTCCTGACTCGAGATCAACACGGTAACAAATGTCGAGCTAATGGACAGGTTTTTTTTTTTTTTCAAAATGAAGAAATACGGTTTTATTCTGTAACTTCGGTCCCCGCACCAACTACCTATTCGTCGGGAGGGGGGCGATCTGCAGCGGTCAGGGGGCGCTGGTGGGGCAAAGGCCAGAAAACAACATCCTCTCCTATTTATATCAGGGGTTCTACCATCCGAGGGCCACTAGCGAAGGCACTTGGACCTTGAAAATCGCATAGCGGTCTTGCGGTTCCGCTCCAGGGGAAAAGTCGGCTCCCACATGCTTCGCTTTCCTCCGGCTCGCACAAAATGAGGATGCGTCATCTCCCCACGGACGTTCTCTAGCGCCTCCGCTCACTTAATGTTTCGGACTCGGGAAGGGCAGCTTATTACGCTCCTGCATCCAATCAGCAACTCGCCAAGGGAAGAAGCATTAACTCAGCGACCTGGTTCCCTCTTCAAGAGGCAGTGACTCTGAACTTCATAGGAAACGGATAAATCTTGCAGATGAAGGACCAGCACATACATGTCATATCCTTTTCCCATTCTCCCAATGAAAACACGTCCATCCACAGAAGTCACTCGGACAGAATCCAACTGATAGGAAGGGGTGGAGTCAGGACTGATTCCGGGCATTGTTATTTGAATCCCTGTTTTTATTTTGACAATCTTTTTGCCTTCTGTTTCCCAGTGACTCAGTGAGCCCAGACCGGGAAAGGGACTTTAGCCTCTAATATGGCCAGTGCAAACCACTTCTCCCTTAGCTCCCCTCCATACAGAGCAGCGTACGTTTTTCTACCACCATTTCAGAAAAAAACGTGATCTTCTGAGGTCCACACTTGCAAACATCTACACCAGCAACAATCCTTAAGCTCGTCTAAACACCGCTCCTCCCCAGGCCGGGGCTGGCTTTTTGGGCCATCAGCCGCGGTCTCGGCAGAGGCGGAAGGACAGACAGAAGTACCTTTCTTTTCGGCCGTCGGCTGCCTTCCTAGTTTTGTCTTCCCCTTGCCTTTCCGGGCGTAGTTCTCCGGCTCCTTGATCTTCACGTAGGTGCCACCACACTTCTGCTGGTGCTCTGCCCACCAGTAGTCGTGAGCGGACGGCGCCCTGTTGGTGGCGCGTTTGACGTAGCCGTAGTAGGGCTTCCTGTGCCGACACGGCCCGTCACAGCGCCACCAGTGTCGCCGGTACTCATCCACCTCGTCGTGGAACGTGTGGTACACCTGCGCGGACAGAACGTGGTAGGCGTTAGGGGGGCAGGTTAACGATTTCCAGAAAATACACGGGCAGCCTTTTCTCGGTTTCAACCTTGCAGCTTCCGAGAGCTCTCTGCAGGGATACCCGAGGGAAGGTGGCAACTAGATTTAGCTTCTGTTCGAAATTTCACGTTAATGGAAGGGCAGCAGTTCATACTCCAGGAACTGTGTGAAGATAGAAAACCGCGAGATCGGAAGACAAAAGAAAATATTTTCTGACTCGCCAAAAGCTCTATCACATGCTAGAAGTTTGAGAGACCAAATCGTAAAACGATCAAATATTTGGATAAAGACAAAACTGTGCATAGTGCCATGATAAGGAAGAACTGTTGCCACTGCTCAGGGGCAACTTTGCCCTCAGAGGTGACAGAACCACAGGGTCCTGGACCACCTGCTGCAAATTCTCGGCCCCCGCCACCCAGGACCCTGCGCTGTCCCGGCCTCTGCCACACCCGCTATCCACAGCCCTGCAGCTCTTTGCTCCGGTCTCTGTAACGAGCCTCATGGGGCAGCATTTTATCTGGTTAAGGCAAAGGCTCCCCAGGATCGTTTTCATCTTTGTTCCCCTAGTGGCTAACTTAGGCTCTGGCACAGTGAGTACCTGCTTGCTGCCTGGGTGACTGGAAAGCTTCACTCCTTGACTCAAATAAAATTCTCTGCGAATGTGCTTTTTGATCCTTACATGGGATCCTTTCGTTTCACCTTCTAGATGGGACCTTACTCAGAACCCAAGCAGAGGACAGATCAAAGAGGTCTGAAAGGAAAGTTATCCCTACCACCTTGGGGGCCTGGAGGATAGCAGGGCACCATTTAAAAACCGATAATCTGGGGCGCCTGGGTGGCTCAGTCAGTTAAGTGTCTGAATTCGGCTCAGGTTGTGATCTCAGAGTTCGTGAGTTTGAGCCCCGCGTCGG